GACTGTGCGAGGGGGGTGGGGATCTGGCCCCAGGCAGCACCCAGAGCTTCTGGCTCCTTTTGGGGCGAGTCTCCTTTGCGGGGGGTGGGGCCTGTGTTCCAGCAGCCGGTGGGACATGGTGCCGGGGCTTTTTGTATGTGTAAATTCTTGTTGACTCGAGCGCTGCAGGAATAAAACTGCTGAGAGCGTCTGTGTGCGCAAGATGTGCGAGGGGGGTGGGGATCTGGCCCCAGGCAGCACCCAGAGCTTCTGGCTCCTTTTGGGGCGAGTCTCCTTTGCGGGGGGTGGGGCCTGTGTTCCAGCAGCCGGTGGGACATGGTGCCGGGGCTTTTTGTATGTGTAAATTCTTGTTGACTCGAGCGCTGCAGGAATAAAACTGCTGAGAGCGTCTGTGTGCGCAAGACACCGGCGAAGAGCCAGAGCTGAGGTTGGGGGGGGGGCATGGCGGTCTCCCCCCTCCCCCCTCCAGCCAGCTGGGGGCGCTGCTGCTAACGAGTCAGTGAGCAGCCCTGGTTCCCCACCTGTGTCCTACAGGACCCCTGCCAGGAACCCCCTGGGAAGGCCTGCCCTGCCCTTCAATGCCCATGGAGGGAGGGCCCTACTGTGTGCTCGGCACCTTCTGGAGTCTTTAGCTGCCCCGGTGAGGTGGTGAACAGGGCCCCTTATGCTGCCCGGGCTGCCCACAATGAGCTTTACCCCGCATGGATTTGGGGGCTTTCCAAAGGGGACTTGTACCCCCTCAGTGAGCACAGGCCCGGGGGTTCTGGCACCCAGCCCCTTATAGCCCAGGGGGTTCTGGCACCCAGCCCCTTATAGCCCAGGGGGTTCTGGCACCCAGCCCTGCCCACGGACAGACTCACACAGACCATTTCTAAACTGCAAACGCTTCTTTGTTAAACAGGCTGCAGGCGGCAGTGCAGTAAGTGCTTCCTACGAAAGAGCCAAACCAACTGTGGGGCTGCTCCCTGCCTCCGGGCCGTGCGAGGGCTCGGCCCAGCTCTCCCCTTAGTGCAGCCCCTGCTGCCCCAGCCCAGGGGGTCTGCCCAGTGCCTGCCACACCCTGAGGCGCAGTCCCCAGTGCC